ACATAAATATATGTACGTATGCCAATACCTCTATTTTTATGAATGAATATTTTTACATAAGTGCACAACTTTGTTTATATCTTTATCCATAGATTTGTTTCCTAGATCTTTCCTCTGTTTCCTTTTACCTTCCTTCTTTCCCACCATCACTCAGTATAACTTTCTTGATGCGTTTGTCACCATTGCAGTTTTCAGTTTTGTTAAACATCTTAATAAGCCATCATGAGAGTCTAGTGCTCTTTGAGAAGATCCACCAAGATTCCCCTTTGAAATCACAAGGATCCTTCACTAAGAAGATGAACAAGTAACAGAGGGAAAATTGTAATTTGTGCTTCTGGTTTAATAAAATCTTCAAATTGTCAAAGATTCACTGTGAGCACTCCCAGTTCTGTCTAGGACACTAGATGGTGTACTTAGGTGGCTAAGTGCTTCTCAGGGGATGTGTGTCCTACCTTGCTCCTAAGAGGTATGATTTCTTTGTAGGCTTTTCTTCTGTGTTGTAATTGATCAGGGCATTGCTGCCTTTTCCTGAGCCATCTCCCCAGCACTCTCTTTCTATGGGCCCCCTACCCACATAGCACCCTGTGTGCAGAGCACTGGGGAAATGCACATGCAGCGTCTGCCAGCTTGGGTGCAGCTCCAGACTCTGCCTTTCTGACAAGCTTCCAGGGGTGCCGATCACATTTTCTTAGTTGAAGTATAAATGGCGGCAATAAAATAAGCCCTTTTTGGTGTTGTCGAGGCTTATGAGCGCTTCACAAACACATAAAGCTGGGTAACCACCGCCACAGCCAAGACGTAGTTGAGCCTCATCCCCCTATCACTGTCTAACAAGACAGCCCTTCCTTCACGGCAGACCTTGGCAACCTCAGATCTGTTTTCTGTGCCCATAGTTCTGTCTTTTCAAGAGTGTCCTGTACAGGAGTTCAGCTTGTCACCCTTGAGTCTGGCTTCTTTCATTTAGCGTAATGCAAGTGAGATCCATCCGATAGCTATGCCTATCAGCATTTGGCCCCTTTTTTATTGCTGAGCAGGGTCCCCCCACTGTGGTCGCTTCAGAGCTTGCCGAGGGAACCCCCAGCGGGAAGACGTTAGGGTTGTTTTCACTTTTTCAGATTAGGAGTGAATTTTTAATTCTAACATTTTAGAACTGTAAAAGAAATGTAATTCTCTTTTTATAATTGTTGTTTTAGGTGACATCACCCAAAAAGGATATGAAAAGAAAAGGGCAAAGCTGCTAGCACGTTACATTCCACGTATTCAAGGTAAGGCCTGCACCCTCCAGCGTGCCTCATGGTTATGCCCCCATCTAAAACCGATGGAAAACCCCACGGAGAGTTCAACAAGTGGCATGCGAGTCACACTTTGTTCACAAGGGCTGGGCACTAATGTGTCTGATATTAAATTAGAAATGTTAAAGGCGTAGATTGTAATTTAATGCTCTGTCTTGGTACTTATCCCCTGGTCTGTGGGATTTGTTTTGTTTATTATCACTTCATTTGTTTTATTTTTATGGTTACAGAGCAGTTTGGCATTTTCCCTTACCAAGGATAGGCGAAATATTGTAAATATGTCACTTCTTTCCACCCTCGATCTGTGTGTAGATTCAGCACATTTCAACAGTTTGGGTTGCGGTTTGGTTGGCTGTGTGCACGTGTGTAATACAACTTTATAAGGTAATTTAAAACTGTATAGAATCCAAGTATAAAAGACCAAGGGTTCTACATTAGTCTCAAAAAAGAGCATGATTAGAGGATTTGCCGTTTGAGGACAAGAAGACTTATTGAAAGCTATCGGCATTAAGAGGGTGTTGGCAGGGGAGCAGATGTAGATGTTCAGCAGCAGCAGCAGCCGCAGACGTCATCCTGAGTGTGTCCATGAGCTTCCCTCATCAACAAGGCCAAATGTTCAGAACAGGCAGGTAGTGGAAAAAGCAATCACAAAGGAGTAGAGCCAGAATAAGTTAAACGGACATGCCAAACTGGGCTGTGTTGTTCAGGGGCCCTTACATAATTGGTAAAGAAAGACAGGAAATGGTTTCAAAGAAGTCCTTGGGGAAGTGGGATAAGGGAGCGTCACAAAGGGCCTCTAAGGTACTGCAGTGCTGTATTTCTTAGCCCGTAGTCACATTGACTTTTGCTCTGTAATATTTCTTTAAGCTGTGCACATGTTTTTCATAGACATACATTCATATGGAGTTTAGTGAATCAATGACGAAATGATTGAGGAGCTTCTTTATATACTGACAGTTCCCCAAAACAAAGCTAAACAAAACAAAAGTTTTTTAGTAAAATTGGAATTGAAGGAAACTAATGAAACATCATTAAACCCACTTACCGAAATCAACAGCAGCCATCAAAGAAAATAGGAGGCATTCGATACCCCAAGCCTGGGTCAGGTTGGATGCTTGCTGCCCCGCATACTCTGACTGCACGTGATGTTGATGGTTATGACGCTATGATGAGATGGGAAAACAAAGCAGGTAGATACTGGAGAGAGAAGACAATCATCTGCACTTGAAGATGGCATTATTTCATACCCCCAACCCTGTGATTCTCTTTATTCTTTGAGCAGTTGGTTTGCTAGAAATGCAGATAAGAGACAAGTTTAAGAATCAATAATTTTTCTTTAGCAATATCTGTTAATGAGGAAACAATTACCTTCATAATAGCACTATCACCATACTGTTAAATGTTTATGAATCCATCTAGCAAGAAATACACAGTATCTATGTCAGGACCATGGAATCTACTTGAAGGAAATATATGAGACCCTAATAAATGAAGCCACAAACCAGTTCCTGAACAGAAAGACTTAGTAGACTAGCCCTGATAATCAAGGTATGCACATGATGCAGCCCCGTCAGGATCTCTACTACTGATTGATTTTGAACCTGAGATTTGAAATAATGGTGCATTTGAAAGAGAAAAATGCTGAGATAAAATTCAAAGTTAAATTCTGCGTTAAAGATTCACATAAACATTTGAAAAAGAATGCTGATGAGAAGGATTTGCCTTTGAGACAGTAAACCAAAGAAACCTGCTGCTGTCATTGACACCAACTCATGACAACCTTCCAGGACCAGTGGAGCTACCCCTTAGGGTCCCAAGGCTGTCAATGTTTAGGATCGATGGCCACCTCTTCCCCAGGGAGCATTTGGTGGTTTGAACGGCCATCCTTTCAGTTACCAGCTGAACACTTAACCCCACTGTGCTACTGAGGCTCCTTTTTGAGATATTAGAGCCGACTATTATGCCACTGTGTGAGCTATTACGTCCAAGTGATTACAACAAAGGGGACGTGTTGGAACACAGGATAGATACTGCAGGTGGTGGGGCAGAAGGGAATCCAGAAATAGACTGGAGGGACTGCGAAGGAGGACTGTGTATTTAGTAAATGATGCTGTTTCTGCAGGACACCAGGCTGGGCCATTCTCATGTAAGCATGGACTTCAGGAGGACTGGAGTTCTAAATACACTTTTCATTATAAAAATATCGGGGAATTTTTAATAACCTTGAAGGAGGAGGTTAGGAAACTCCGAGCTAGAAGGAAAAGACTGATAGAGGGAGTTGGCTCTCTCAACTGGAAGTATTGGAATAGGGAAGCAGCCCTTCCAGCTTCACCAATGCGACCAGCAGATCAAGGAGTGTCCCTGACAAAGTCACCTGCAGCCGTTTGGGGACTCATTAGCTTGGAGAAGTCAAGGAAAAGGAAATGCAGATAGCCAACTAGCAGGAAATTCTAACCAACCGTACTTAGCAGATATGGAAATGCAAATGAAGTGAAACCACTTTTCTAAACATATTTTAGAGAAGTTGGCAAAAGTTTGAATTTTTTCTTTTAATGCAGTGCTGATAAGGATGCGAGGAAATGGCATTTCCATAAATTTCTTGTGGGGGTGTAAATTGTTGCAAACTTTTTGGAAAGGCATCTCTTGGTATTTCCTAAAATTAAAACTATGACTACACTTTCATGCAGTAATTTTATGTGGGGTTCTCTATCTTTGTTGAACAACCGAATCTATCTCAAAGAATAAAGGCACATGTGCTTTAGAATGTAAGTGTGAGGATGTCTGTGTGTGTATGTGTGTGTGTATCTAACTTTGTAACATGCTTTCTTTTAATCCATAATGAACTTTAAAGTCATTTTATCCAGGCACAAAAAAACCTGAAATGCTGGTCGGGGTACTGATTAATTCTGTCTTATATCTCTCTCCAAAATGTGAAGAGCTAAGCATTATTCCCTTTGGGATGATGGTGGTGGTGGTAATTCTCCAATGCTGTGTAACTTAGTGGTTTAAAACAGCAGCACCAGCCTCTGTTCTGCTTACGATCCTGCAGTTTAGGTGGGGCTCAGAGGGCAGCTCATGCCTTGAGACTGGGCTGGCATTGTCTGAAGTTTCCTCACACCCAGAACTGGCCTCCACTGGCCTCCTGGGCCTGTGCCTCTATCTCCCTTAGCCTGGCAGGGCTATTCCTATCACCGCCTAGTCACCTTTCATGGGCAGCCGAGGAGTCTCCCGGCCACTCCTCCACCTCATCCTGTGTCAGGTGGGGCAGTCACAGAGCACTGCCTGGGTTTGAGACGCAGGACAGACTCCAGCTGTGCCATCAGGGAATGGTCAGTGGCTGGAGAGGCCTTTGGGCCAGAAACTTAGCTGGCCATGTTTATAGGCTGTGTTGGAACAAAGGCTAAAGTTTGCTTATTCCTGAGGAAACACAGCGGAAGGCTGTACTTTCAGTCTCTGCTTCACAATCTGGATTGTATGGCCAGTCATGATTTCATCTCTGAAGAAACTCCCCGGGATTTAGGTCTGTGCCCCGTTCGCTCACACACCGGGCGTCTGGGAGCGTGTTTCAGGGAACGGCATGTGAAGGACACAGGAACTGGTGAGTCTGGGGCAGGCGTGTGGAGGGCAGGCACATGGGGCCATTGGTGACTTATCGTCATTTGGAACAGAGCTGGACATGGAGGCAGAATGGAGGCGTGGGTTGGGGAAGCGGCCTCCACTCCACGCCATGCTGTGGGAGCATCCTCTGGCACCGTGAACAGATATCTCCTTGCCTCTCTTCACTCCCTGCTTTTTTCTGCCTGAACCTGAGGGCCGTCCGTGGTCCTGGGGATGTGTTAGTGGGTTGTTTCTCATTCAGAGTTTACTGACACCAGGGCAGTCCTGGGAACGAGTGACAGGCAGTTTCATATTCAATAAAACACATAGCTCAGAAGCATACTCTTAACCGTTTTTCCGGATGGAGTCCACTGCCTGGGAGGCGCTGCTGTTGGCCGGGCTGGCAGGACTGTCAGGGACCTGAGGCTAGGCTGAGGTGTGCAGCAAGCACTAAGGATGAGAGCGGGCCTGCCTCAGCACCCACAGGACCGCCACTCTCTGACCCTCATCGCCTCCACGCACTCCGGACTCTCACCTCCTGGCTGCTCTGCGCCTTAGCCTTCCAGTGTGGACCCTCTGGCTACCACCTGTTCCCACTGGCCCAGCCGCTGCCGGCTCCCTGCTTGGCCTTCAGGCCTCTTCTGTAAGATCTTTCCAGGAAGCTCTGCTACCTAAGCAGGCCTGCTGCTTCTGGCCATCCCAGGCCAGACTTTGGCCATTCCCCTCCTAAGAGGGCCCCTGGGAGGAGGAGCCGAGGAGACCAGGAATGCTACCCCCCACCCCCACCCCACTTCATCTCATACCTTCTGAATGGACGAAGAACTGGAGGAATGTATGGATTGTGATAAGAGATGTCGGAGCCCCCACTAAAAGTATTTAATTAAAAAAAAGAAAGAAAGAAATTCATGTACTTGGTCCATAGCACTTCCACGTTGGTCTCCAGCTAGCCAGATAAATTCTGGTGTGATCATGATCTCTGTGGCCTTGAGTCTCTGCTCCGGTGTGGCATATGTGGTGTGACAGTATGGGAGGAACACGTACTCTTGGACGGGGATTTTTCCGGGATTGCGAAAGCAGATTGTTGACACAGGTGTTCCCATACATTGTGTTTCAGGAGTAGATCTGTCCCTGCAAGCCGAGAGCAGGACCACGGGCCCCTCACCGACTGCGGCGGCTGCTCCCAAACAACCCAAGTCACGCCCCACCAACTCGAGGGATGAGCGCTTCCGCTCAGGTACGTGGAGAACAGCGCGGCCAGGGTTTTGCACACACTTGGCTTCCAATGCTGCCAGTTAACGCTTCTGAGCTAAAGTGTGCGCTGAAGGATTTCATTCCCCTGGACAGTGATTCACCACATAATGATCAGAAAAACACGACCTTCACATCACGACAGTCTGTTTTAATGTAACCTGTTTTCCTAGGGGATGCTTCCATTAAAATCTTCCTCAAACCTGCACCAGGATAATTTCTTTAAGCATTTTAGTTGTTTTGTACTTAACTAATACTTTTGTATTGGCAGTATTTGTAAATCATAGAGATGTTGCCATTAAGGTACAGATGTTTTAAGAAGACGTGGTATTGCAGTGGTTAGGCACTAGCTGCTAATCACAAGTTCAGCTGTTCAAACACTCCAGGGGTGTTTTGGGAGGCAGAGGAAGCTGTCTGCTCATGTAAAGAATTAGAGTCTCAGAAGCCCTCTATAGGAACACTAGGAGCCCTGTATAGCAGGGGTCCTCAAACTACGGCCTGCGGGCCACATGCGGCCTACTGAGGACATTTATTGGGCCCACTGGGTGTTTTTGCTGCTGCTGCCTGTCCTGCTTAGCAGCCGACTCGTCCAGTGTGCACAGGAATTTGTTCATAGTTTTTTTTTAACTATAGTCTGGCCCTCCAACAGTCTGAGGGACAGTGAACTGGCCCCTGTTTAAAAAGTTTGAGGACCCCTGCCCTATAGGATCACTAGGAGGTAGAATCAACTCAGCTCACCAGCAATGGGTTTGCTGGTGGTGCATGGTTCAGTGCTTGGCTGCTAACCAGAAAGTTGGTGATTCTCACCTACCAGCTGGAGAAAGATGGCGCTGTCTGCTTCCATAAGGATCACAGCTTGGACAGACCCTATGGGGCAGTTCTACTCTGACCTGTAGGGTCACTGTTAGTCAGAATGGACCTATTTGTGAGTATATTCATATACGGAGTTCATGTGATACAGATCCCTGGTGGCATAGTGTTGGGCTACGAACTGCTAGGTCAGCAGTTCAAGACTACCAGCTGCCCCACAGGAGAAAGATCAGACTTTCTACTCCCATAAATAGTTACAGTCTTGGAAGCCCACAGGGCAGCCTGCTCTGTCCTATAGGGTCGTTATGAATTAGAATCAACTCCGTGGCAGTGACAGAGAGAACTGAGGTGGTGCACGTGGTTAGCATGCTCTGTCATGGACAGAGAGGTTGGAGGTTCAAGGTTGCCCAGAGGCACCTCAGAGGAAAGACCTGGTGATCTACTCTTGAAAAACCAGACATTAAAAACCCTCGGGAACATGGCTTCTCTCCAGCACACTCGAGGTCTCAGTCAGTCAGCGTGACCCCAGTGACAACTGGTTACAGATGATTTAGTATTTTTCACTTTTAAAATTTTAGACTTTCCTTCTAATTAGATTTCAGCTCCCCTTATTTGTTTGGCAGTGCTTTCATGAATATTTAAATTGTGTCCCTGGTAGTTCATTTGAACTGTAAGGATATTTGTTGAAAACTTTATTTTTTTTATGTTTTCAATTATAGCTAACCTTAAAAAAAATCATTTTATTGGGGACTATTTTTTTCTCTGTTCATCATAATGGTTTCTTTTTTAATCATTTTATTGGGGACTCTTATAGCTCTTATAACAATCCATACATCAATTGTATCAAGCATATTTGTACATATGTTGCCATTATCATTTTCTAAACATTTTCTTTCTATTTGAGCCCTTGGTATCAACTCCTCTTTTTACTCCTCCCTCTTCCCCCTCCCACCTTCACGATCCCCTTGCCATTCTCTGGCAGTTTTCAGCGCTGATGTTTAGATTTCATCTATACTCCCACCACTTCCTCCCTTCCTGTCTGACTTTAAAACATATTTCAAATATTACGCTGTTTCATATGAATATCATAATATTCTTGGCCTCTGTATTTGAAAAGAATATTCAAACAAACAAACTTACTGCCGTAGAGTTGGTTCTGACTCACAGAGAACCTGTAGGACAGGGTGGAATGGCCTTTGCGGGCTTCCAAGACTGTCAGTCTTTAAGGGAGCAGAAAGCCTCTTCATTTTTCACAGAGCACCTGGTGGTTTGAACTGTTGACTTTGTGGGTAGCAGCCCAGCACATAACCACTACACTACCAGGGCTCCTTCCAACAGGAATATCGATCTCTCTAAAAGAGCACACTGTTAACAAACAATATAATTCATAATAAGTTCTTAGTATTAAATATCTAGATAATATCCCCGTGGATTTTAGAATCAACTACACATTGCAATTGGTTGATATGTCGTCTTAGTCTTTTTCATTCTGTAGATTCCCTTTCTCTAGTTTGTTTGTGGGGGATACAGCAATGTTCATGTGGTTGCATCTCTGTGGTGTGGTCTGCCTTGTACATTAACTTTACATAAAGTCCTGTAACATGAGACTTGGATCTGGAGGCTCAATGATATTCATGTCAGGATTTTCTTCTTTTTTTTAATAAGATTAGTTCATAGACACTTAAGTGAGTCAAAGAAATGATTGACTGAATAGGAGATTTCAAAGGACAAATCAACCAGACAAAATAAAACTGAAGGTGCAAAGACCTGGAGATAGAAAACCAAAGGGAAGGAAGGACATTTTCGGCATTCCTCACTTGTAAAGAATGGGAAAGTAAGAAAAAAATAAGAGAGAGATTCAAGCTTTGATTTGCAACATGGAAGAATTCTGTGGAGTGATGTATGAAGCATTAAAGGAAGACGGAAGGAATGCACAATCACTGTGCCAAAAAGAATTGGTCACTGGGCAGTCCTTTCAGGAGAGAACAGCATGTGTTCAAGAACCGATGGTGTAGGAGGCAAGTCCAAGCTGTGCTGAAGGCATTGGTGAAAAACAAGGGTCTAGGGTACTGTGTTAGTCTAGGTCCTTTAGAGAAACAAATCCACAGCAACTCATGTATAAGAGAGTTTTATGTAAAGAAAATGTGCATCACGAAAACATCCCAACTCAATGCTGCCCAAGCCCACAGTCCAACATTAACCCATTTACCCAACACCAGTCCACAAAGTCCTCCACCTCACGAAACAGAGGCAATGATGCC